TCGCGGCGAACAATCGTTGAGCGGTCTCGGAGTTTGCGCGAACAAGTGTGAAAATATTACGTCACGCATCGGCGATATTTCCGTAATTTGTGCTAAATGAGATGAAAGTTTTAGAACTTTTGTGGAAGATTGGTGCCGCGGAGAAGTTATTTTCGAACAACAAGTGAAAGTGGAATATTTTTCAGTTTGCTGCGAAAATTTGTCCGGGAACGTTGCTGCGAGCGATCTAAAGTACATCGAAGCTCGTCGATCATTGCACTCGGAGGGTTTACAACGGTGCGCCGGCAAATTTTTAATAGCGCAAGAGAGGCGAAGTGTTGATCGACTGGGCCAACGTTGACTTTTCCCGTAAAGATTCGCCAATTATCTGATTAGCCGACGGTGAAAACGGCTAATTGACAAATTGCGTACTCGAAACCGTGCAGTTGGCAGTGTCGTCGGTTCGCAATATAAGCAGTCATTTGATACACCGCAAAACGAATGACAGTGGTTTTTCCTAATGGTATATACGTACGCAAAGCCAACTCGCCAACTCGCCGCGTATAATTATTGCATAGCTCTCGATGACCTCGAATCCAATAAGATGTGCTTGGTGAACGAGCCGCAATAGCGAAAAAGAAAAATCGTTAATATCGTTCCGAGAGAATCGCGCGCGTCCGCAATTAAAAACGCCGTCGAATTTTCCACTGCCGAGGTTTTCGTAACGCGGACGTGTATATAGTTTTGACAAACCTAGCTTTCAGTTATTTAGCGCCAAACAGATTAATACAGAAGTTAGAAAACCTGTTTATAGATAGAAATTACGTGACGCTTGATTATTGCCACGGCACTCGCTGCGCCGTACCTTTCTTTCGCTCTGTACGTGTATACACTTTTACACCGAAGATGAGCCATCTGCTTTCAAAACTCGTTACATAAATTGTAAACGCTTCTTTCCCTCGCCACCCTCCTTCTCGAGCCCGATAAAATTCTTCTTTTTTTTCGACTTCTCTAATTGCATCTATCGCTATATATTTTATGGCCGTTTGCCATTACGACTTAACAAAGCTGACGTTTGCCGATTGTATTTTTTGGTCGTTTAGCTGAGCTCCCGCTGCCAGTTTGTTATTTTAACGAAGCGAAGAGAAGCGAAAAAGCACGTCCGAGGCGATAAAGAAGCGAGCGGCGCGGCGCGCGTGAAGGAGAAAAAAAAAGAAGTAATGACGAAAAATTGGTACGAAGTAGCGCGCCGCGCCGTTTCATAACGTTCGCGCCGCGCGTAATTGACATAGTTGAGAGTCTTGATTCCGCGAGCACGGTTTTGTCGCGCGCACAGTCTCATTCCGCGCGTCCGCGCGCGTAATTACCGAATTGAGGATGGCTCGTTTCATCCGAGGAAAGGCCGGCTTGATTAAGCACGTACCGCTGGAGCGCGCCGCGCGCGACAAATTACACCTACGCACAAGTCCAGATTGCCTTTTCTCCCATTTGGTCCGCGAGATTTCTAACGTTATGTAAAGGACAAGAAGAAGAAGAAGAAGAAGAAGAAGGACAGAAAAAGACGAGAAAGAAGGTGGCGCAGCGCGTAGTGAAATAACGCACGGACCCTCGGCGACGACGGTGATTAATTTATTCCGAGCTGCGGAAGGAAGCGTCGTCCACTCTTCGACCGCGACCATAACGATTGAGCTATGCGCACGAGGCGCGGAGTGAGAGCGTCTAACGGGTGACGTCACTTCACATGCCTGACATCACTCGGCTTTTACTACTCGAATCGCACGCTTTCACACAATCATTTATTGCGAGCGCAGGATCATCCGATTGCGCGCGACGATATTCGTGCAGCTAAACTAGCTTCGCGTCGTCGCGCTACTCTTATCGGCGTTTCGCTCTTCTTATCGCCGAGAGATCGCTCGGCCAAGCTGCGATCCGCAAATAACAGTTGCAAATCGCTCTCCAAGATACGCTCGGGAGAAAAATGTGTGTTAAGAATCTGCCTTGGCAGTTGACATCTTCCACACTTGAACTTTCACTTTCGGTATCTCAGCCTCGATCTCCGAGCGCCAGCTACTCGCAAACGCTCGTCGCAAAAGCGCTCTCTCGCGAGCTTGTGCCCGTCCGCTTTTCTCTCGTCGCCGTGTTCGAATTGCAATTGACAATTTTTCGGAAAACTCTTCCGATGGTACTCCAAGTGAGAGCACATCGTTTGGTGGCTTTTCTTTTTTCAAGCGGCGCTAGCGTGGACCTGCGCGTCGGCTCTTCAGCGGCCGCCGCCGAGGTACTCCCAGCAATACATGCCGCAGACATCCTTTACGTGCCGCAACAAAATCATTGGAAGCTACTACGCAGATCCCGAAACCGATTGTCAACTGTTCCACGTTTGCGTGTCTGTTGCCGGAAGCATTCAGGACTACAGGTATGCTAACTATACGTACCGCTATTTAACATACAACGGCACGATCAGCGATAAATTATTTAGCAGTTTCGCGGAAGGTTACTCCTCTTTTTCCGTTTTCTTTTCTTATTTTCTTTTTTCTTTAAGTTCCCGAAGTTCGGCGCAACCGTTGAAAACGCGCTTTTCCATTATCAACAGTAGAATCCAATTCGGCGAGGGCACGAGAAATTTATTACTTGTCTTTCATCGTTGAAACATACATGAACTCGCGCATCAAACATTTATATCAGCGGAATTGTCAATCGATACTTTCTATTCGGCGCGCGGTCAACTAAAGAACAGCGACGAGCGTAAATGACGCTTGAATAAAACAACAACCGTGTAAAATTCTGGCTTGCGCAAGTCTCCTTTTCGGCGCTTTATCAAAACGCAAAACTTTCTCTCTCGGGAACCGTGGAAAGCGTCGAAAACGTTGCATTGCAAAGACGCAACGAGCAAAGAGCCTCGGGGGGGTCGCGCGACTCCGACGAACCTTTCTCAACGCCCGCGGACTCAGAGATGACTCTGCACGTGCGATCGCACGCGCCGTGGGAGAGAGATCGACTAAAGCGACTGTCGACGCAACGCGCGTGCTGCGCGATCGCAGGTTCCTCTGCCCGAACGACACGGCCTTCGACCAGGAGAGCCAAACCTGCGCCGACTGGTACGACGTGGACTGCGAGGCCGCGACTCTCTACTACGCCAGCGACAACTTCGACCTGTACCGCATCGGCTCGGGTCTGGAGTCGCTGCACTACGACAGCATACGCAGCGACTACGAGCCCCAAGACCACCTGCAGCGCAGCGAGTCCAACGATCCGATTCGCTCGCCCTACAACAGCTTCGGCAACTCCAACGGCGGAAAGGACGTCGACCCGCCGAAGAAGAGCGGCAGCGCCGGTCAGCAGCAGTACAGCGCCGCGAGAACACAGAAGCATTACCAGGAGCCCGAGAAGGACAACAAATCCCAGGAGCAGCCGCAAGAGAAGAAGAGCAGCCTGCGCAAGGTGAGCCGCAAGCCGGCGCCGGCGAGCAACGCCTACGCCACCACGAAGCTGCAGCAGCCGACCACCGGCGCGCCGACCACCAGCAGCGGCCAGGCTCGCTACAATCCCAACCAGGCGTTCGTCTACAGCACGACCACGCAGCGAGCGAGCAGCGCCAACAGCCCCAGGATCATCACCTATCATCAGCAGGCCAGCTCCACGCAGAGGCCTACGAGTAAGCACACCGTGCCGGCGGCGACCACTCTCAGGTCGACCGAGGCCTACACCAACTACCAGACCACCACGACCAAGAGCACCTTCCACGGCGCCTTTGGCTTCAACCGCTTCGAGAGCACCGCCAAGCCCACGCAGACCACTCGCTACAGCGAGCAGCCCCCCAACTATTCCGCCCAGTACACCAGCCAGGCGCTGCCCTCGACCACCAAGCAGCCGCTCGTCTACGACTTCAACCAGCAGGCCAACTACAATAGCTACGAGAGCACCAAGCAGAACGTCCACCCCGCCTACAGCGTCCACAGGACGAACGTTACGTCCTACCCGTCGACCACCCTCACCCCCCAGTACCCCAACCACAACTACGACAATGTAAACGCCAACAACAACGCCAACAACAACCACAACAACCACAACAACCACAACAACTACCAGGCGACGAAGAAGGCCGACTACAACCAGAACAGCTACGCCACCAACACCTATGCCCCGACCACCTACAGTCCCGTCACCAAGAAATTCCCAAACCACCGGGCATTCTTCGACAAGTCGTCGACCACTCTGACGACCAAAAGCGCTCAGTACACCGACGCCGAGTCGACCAAGGTCACGAAGAAGGTCACCCAGTACAAGCAGAATTACCCCAACTTCGAGACCAGCACCAGGAGCTACGACTTCGGCAGGTCCTCCGTGGGGCTTGGCTTCAGTCCGTCCAGCGTCAACCATCTGGCTGAGAATGTCAGACCGACCACTCCGACCCCAAGGTAAGCCCATGCCAAAAATCGCGTCGTACGATTGTCTGACGACCGATGCCTTTGCAGACGAGCGGCCTCGCCAACGACCTACAATCCCAACAACTTCAACGTAAACACTCACGCGCCCCAAGTGACGCAGCCCAAGCAGTCGTACTACCAGAACCAGGCGACCGCCGCCAAGCAGCAGCAATACACCACCACCGCCAAGTACTACGAGGAGACCACGCTGCGCCCGAAAATAAGCAAGAAAAACGACTACGACTATGCCTATTACGACAACGATCCTCTTGCCTACGATAACATCGAATTGGAGCACGTCAACAGCAACAAGGAATCCGTCAAGATTACATAAGCACCCCACCACACTCCTAATCACGAAGCGCGACTGCAGATTCCAATCTGAGACAAACAACCTACCCCCTCTCGAACGTTTTCAAAATACATTTTTTTTTTCAATGAATATGGCCAGTTTTTATCGTAAACTTAATCTATTATAATTATTATTATTAATTTTACATCGTTGCCGTGCTATGTATGTGCCTTGATATATATATATATATATATATATATATATATATATATATAGTGGATCTTATTATTCGAAAAAAAATATTTCGCTTAAATCGCGTAACGACCGTCCACTTTGTAATACCTTATTTTTTATAAATAAAATCTAAGTATTAATTAGTGATAGGTAATTAAAATACTTTTTTTGTATTCTCAAATGAATGACATTCGTAGATCGTTAAGCGACCATTCGACTTCTATACGTATAAATGTACATATAGCAAGCGAAAAAACTTGTTTCGTATTTTTCTATGTTTATTATTATAAAAAAAATAATAAATTAAAAAGTGTTTCAAAATTAATTGTTATTATTAAGATAATTACGATTGTATATACATTATCCTTTATGCTCAGATAAAATTTATGATTGTTTTAAAAAAATTTTTTGTCGCCTCGCTTAGACACATATCTCTTTACGTACTTTGCCAGTAATGAAATGTAATTATTCACATACAGTTGTCTCTGTCGTTATCCTTTTGCGGAAAAATATACGTTTTCTTCAAAGTGTTTCTATTAAACTATAAACTATAACGCAAATCGACTACACTGTTATCTCTCTATCATGTAACAATCGTGTTTTGATTTTACGAGAAAATTTTAATATTCACATATTCCTGCTAATGTAGATTTGACGTAATATTAAATTATTATTAAAAAAAATCGTTGATGTTGCTGTTCTCATTTGTTTTAAGTTTACGAAACTACGCGATGCTCTTTTATTCTATTTGTTCAGGAAAACTAAATTAGTTTTAGTAACGGTATAATATCCAATATTTTTAAGAAGCGTTTAAAGTTTGAACTACAAGCCGTTCGAACTTGTCGCGAAAGTTCGATTTGCAGCGATATAAAAGTCATGAAATTGATTGATACCAAGTCGTAAATTGAAACTGGTTTTGGAATCTGCCGACGAAAACTGGTTTGGTCCAGGGTCGTCGTTCGTTTACCAATGACATAATCTTTGAAAATTCAATACTCGTTTGTAGGCCATGCGGTATCGACTACTCATGAAATTGTAAAGCAGCGGATTAATAGCGGTACTCGAATAATAAAAGCAGCCACTGATGATGTACAGCCATTCGTTCATATCCGGATAATATTCGGCGTCGACCTCGTGCATATAAATGTATAGCAGTCGCTGCATGTGGAATGGCGCCCAGCATATGAAAAAGGTAATCACTACTGCGCCTAGGAAAGCAAAGCCGGCTCTTAGATTTTTGTCGCGAGTGCAGAATGGCACGACTTACTCAACATCTTGACGATGCCTCGTCTCGACTTGACGTGCTGAGCCTCTTTGTTAAACTGATTGACGTTAGCCTTCTTCGTTCCTCTCAAGCTCTCGTGTATTTGCATTCCCATCTTAGCGTAAAGGATCATAATGACCAACATTGGCACGAGGAAGAAGAGCATGGTGCTCAGCTCGTAAAGCGGAAAGTTCTTGGGCAGGTGTTCTTTCATCATGCCGCATATTGCCGATATATCCGAATTATTTCCAGAACCTGCAACGCTGACAAACTATTAATAGCGGCAAACGGTGAGTCTGCTTAACTTATAAATATTTACATACCGGGAGGATACTCTATGTAATTTATTGTGGTGTATATAAAAAATGGCAAGGCGCAGACCGAAGCGACAATCCAAGCCCCTATAATGAAACACACTGGTCGCTTCAAGCCGCTCATGGCGTTGAAGTGCAGCGGCTTGCATACGGCCAAATATCTTTCTATCGAGAACAGCATTATTGTCAGCACCGAAACGTACGATGACCTTGAACATTTCATTGCTTACAACACCTGTCGGCTTTCAATTGCTAATGCGTCAAACATACGTACGTCTCCGATGTGTATGCCCTTACTTTACAGAATAGCTTTCCGGAAATCCACGGATATTGCTGCCAAAAGACGCTCAATTCGTTTGGTAAACCTTTAACAATGGGGGGGGGGGGGGGGGGGGCGAAACAAGCAAACGTTTAGTGATCGTATAGATACTTGCCGAGACGTTCGTGTAACATTCGTACCTAGTAATAAAAGTATCAAGTCGGATACCGCAAGACTGAATAAATAAAAGTTTGTCGCATTCTGCATGGTCGAGTTGTTTATAATCACCACGCATGTTATTACGTTGCCGAAAATCCCGCATATGAATATGGTAGTATATACTACTGTCAGAGGCACTGTCACGTCGAGCGGCAAATATTGTGGCCCTAAGATATTTTCAAGATACTGAAGTTCCGTTAAATTTGTCCAATTTGCCGCGAGAGGCCCTGATTCCTCTATCAAATTCGTTATATTTTTCCATATCGGAAGTGGCTCCAAAAGTCCTTCGAGAACTTCAACTTCCGCTAAGTTTGTCGACGAGTTTCTCGTCAAGTCATTCGTCGAATTTAAAGTCGTCATGATCATTTACAATTCTTCGATGTGTCGGATGAAGAATTGAAATGCACAGCTTTTGGTCATTTTAACCGATGCCTCGATCAGAGCCTAAAACAAACGTTGAATATAACATTTTGTATCAAAGCATTATGTGATTCAGATCCTTTCAGAGTGTTGCAATATTCTGCAGACGTCAACGTTAAATAAATAAAAAATTTCCCCGCGAGTCTCTGACGCATTTGGAATCATCTCCATCATAAATTTAAAACACAAACTTGGGATGCGCTCTAAATATTTTCGATGTTATCACTTCAAACGTTCAACGTTAATTTTTTTCATTCATTGTTTAAAAGGCGATAAACGCTAGACTCGTAATTATAATAATAAAACACGTTAATAATAAGTTATGTAACTTTGATGATCCGAAGAAGTCTGATAAGAACAATAATATTGTATTAAAATATTTGTGCAAATTCCATAGTAAGTAATAATTTCATTGAACATGTATTATTTTATCAAAGATGACCATAATCCATTATCACAATATACCCGTTTGATCGAATTTTTTACTTTAAAATTAGATGTTATTAAAAAAACATTATCCTTAAATGTCTTGATCGCAATTACGCCTGTATGTTTTTACTTGATTTAATCCGGCTAAATTTACAAAACTTCTTTTATATAATTGTGGATGCAGATTATCCGTCAAAAATTACTGGATAAATTTGCCCACTATTGTTAAATTAAAAATTAATTAAAAACAACTTACCAGTCGCAAACATTCGTAACAAACGACATTTTATTTCATTGCCACCGACTTTGATCATTAGTAACAATTCTTTTATCAGCCTTCATAAAGCGAAATATTCACTGAACATCGTCGAGACAAAATCACAGCCACTTATTTCGTGATGGAACAAAAAAATAATTCTCAAACAGGTAAAGAGCGTGTAGCTCGGAACGTCTTCTCTTATCATTGATAAGAATCCCATATTTGAGATTTGATTGCATATTCGGCCTTATTATGTCTTGAGAAATTTATACCCCAAGAATTATGTGCTCAAACTTCTGCTACTTTATAAAACTATAATATTTTCTGGTGGCTCATTTATAGCCGTGAAACAAAAAACGAAATAAAACAGTTCATTTGATGTAATTTTCAAAGCAAATCTTTGCGCATAGTGTCTAAGGTTTCGCCTACGCTCAGGGAATAATTACTGGCAAATATGAAGCAAGTGTTTATTCATTTAGTATAATTACAATATTATACAGTGCAATTTTACAGTTTTACTTATAATTAGTGATAATAGTTGGCATAAATTCTTTACCAAGGGATCATGAATCATCATCGCGAGTGTACTATCAAGTGTTTAAGATTCATAGGGAACGATCATAAAGACAACCAAAGACTTTGAAATAGACTCTAGCTATTTAAATTAATAATATCGTTCAAAAGCTTTAATCGCAGCAACAAATATGAACAACTTTCATATTCTCAAAGCCCAGTCTTCTTCGTTTCAATTTAACCTTTCGTAAAACAGGAAAATACAATTGAAACTTGAGTATAGTGTATTTTTTTCATTGTTTATATACTTTTATATCACGGATGCCATCATTCTTTTGCGTGGAACGCTGCAATAACGTAAACATATCATAACAACCAAAGATGTAAAACATTCTGAATCGTTTTGATTAATGTGAATTTTATTATACTTTTAATATATACTATACAACCTTTACTACGTTCTGCAACTGACAAAGAAATTACTTATCAATAAATTAACGATCATTTAGTGACGCTTTCAATAGTGAGTAGCAGTTTTAAGTAGATTTTTCAAGTTCCACATTTTGGTGGCACGACGAAACCACTTTGAACGTGAAACTTTAATTGCTTGCCGTAGCCATCATTGCAAAGCTTTAAGAAGCGCTCCTCAATGATTCCAAATGTCTCCAAAAGTCTTGTCCTCGTACAGAGCGTCGAAACAATACTTATTTACATTATTAATCGAGAAAGTTTAATAGTGTATAAACGAGAATCTAAAGTACGTATATTATTGTCAGCATATTTTGAATACATACTTAAAAAATGTAATAAGAAGGAAATATCCCTATCAAAATTGTAATACTTTCAAAGTTTTGATTAATGTATCGTTATTCATTAAGATATCTTAGTTATAACTATTAATGAAAATTATTGCAACAGTTATTGCCGACCTAAAAGAGCTTTTCTAAACTCGGCTATTCTATACTTGTTATTTTATCTTCTTAATGCATATATAAAATTGATATTTTGTAATTTACCATCTAATTTTTTTTGCTTGTTTATATATATATATATATATATATATATATATATATATATATATATATATAAATCGATAAAAGCAGTTACTTTCAAGCTTTGATAGTTGCTGTATAGGCATCAGAAGCATAATCGCTGTACTTTTGTCTTCACTGCAAAAGAACGACGGAAAAAAATGTCAATATACATTTGAAGAAAACATTCGAATTAAAAAATAAGCAGAAAAGAAAAACGATCGAGGAAACTTATGTACAGCGCAACAGCAATTTTTCTACCTTATTTGTACAATAATCACAAGGAACATACTCTTTGTAGTTATTACAAATATTATAAAATTTACAAAAAGATTATCGTACAGTTTCGTTTTTATCGACAGGCTAACGAACTTTTATTGTCATAAGACACAGACAGTAATAAAGTCAACTAAAAAGTCCCTACGCAAGAAGAATGCTACTGAGAAGTGAAGAAAAGTTATGTACATAAGACTACGGTGATTGATGAAAATTGAAGCTTTGTTGAACGTCGACTTCGGATGAGGAATATTGATGGGTGTTGGCCAATCGTAAGGATCGAACGCGTCTTTTCCGGTATCAGTTTTTACCAGCGATGACGGATTGTGTCTTGCTCTGGAAATATTCGACGAAACGTACGCTCAGCGTTTTCTCGACGCGATATATCACAGTTAGACAATTACCTGGAGCAGGGTGCGACGTTTTTTCCTCTTAGCACGTACTTCCCCATATCGATGGCCCCAGAATCTTGAACTTCGAGAGTATGAATGCAGCCCGAAAACCCGACGTGATATCTGCTACCTGTCATGGAATATTCCGGCACACCTCCGATGTAGACGTTGCCACGTATTTCCAGCTCGCGGTTCAGTCCGTCGCTCGTGCCAGTTTCGATATGTTCGCCGTCAAGTTCCATGCTGCCGTCTCTTTCGTGACGTTTCAGTATGATCCTATGCCGCTTGCCGTCGTCTACTTTGAAGGAGCTCATTCGTAAGATAGCCGGTCCTGAGCCCAAATTGTATTGGAACTCAACGTACCTAGAAAAGTGATCAGCGGTAGAGCGGAAGATACCCTTTCTTATTTTTTATCGCGAGTGCGCGCTCGAAATGACAAACCCGTCGGTCACGGCGAGAGCCATGTAGCTGCTCATGAGTCGCCTGCTAGATTCGTCGCCGTGCCACAAAATCAGCCCGTCGGTCTCGTTGGTTGAGATCTCGAAGCCGATCATCTCTCTTCGCTCGTCGTGCATCATGACGTTGTTGCTTAGCTCGAGCCAGCCGTCGCCTCGAAAGTTGGCGTCGTCCTCGACGTCCACGCCTGGCAGCAATCGAAGCGCAACGGTGAGCGTTCGCGCGAAGGCACTACGGCACTACTACGGGAAATCCACTCACTCTTGCTGCAGTTCTGCCCGGTAAAGCCGTATCTGCAGTCGCATTTATAGGAGCCGCGCGAATCGGCGCAGGTGCCGCCGTTCAGGCAGGGGCTCAGAAGCTCGCACTGCTTCAGCATGTTCTCGCAATTCCTGCCGACGTAGCCGTACTCGCAGATGCACGAGTAGTCGCTACTGCCGACGTTCTGGCAGACGCCGTGGACGCACGGCTTGCCAACGCAGAAATCCAGCTTTATCAGCGGCGCCGCGGTGGTCGCTCTGTGCCACTGCGTGTGCGAGTCGAAGTCGTTGCACTCTTCGACGTTCGACGACGCCGCGATCGACTTGAACATGTCGAACTTGGTCGAGTACGCGTGTATCTACGCAATTGCAATTCGTTGTACGCGAAGCTGTTAATTGTCGTAGCGGGGCCCAAACGGTACGTTTACCTTGTCGAGGCATCCGTTAAATGAAAGCTTGACGCGGAGGCTTTTGTGAATGCTGATGGACGTGTGATCGACGCCACCGAAATAGGTGAGAGTCTTCAAGTACATGGGACGCTGCGGGCCGAAGATCAATTTCTTCCTCGTGGCCGCGTTGACGGTGAGCGACGCCCATCGGTGATCCTTGCCGATACTCACGCGGTGCCATTTGCCAGGCTCCATCGTGTGATTCGATCGGAGCTCGTTCACTCTTGCGCCCATCCCGAAGAGAAACCTCAAGCGGCGCTCGTGAATGACGAGCGCTATGAAATCGCCGGTACCTCGGGCGCTCTGCGCGCAATACATCAGGATCCCGTTCTCCTGGCCGGCGGGCTTCAAACTCACTGACATTCGCAATCTGCAACATTCCATTTGCCCAAAGCGACACTCAGCGAGCACAACACACATAAGCAAACGTAGCATTAGCGACGCTGCGAGCGTCTCAAAGCTAATCGCACCCGTCGCCTCGCAACGCTCAAAACTACCTACTGCGCGTACTCCAGGAAAAGCAATACGGTTTTTCTATAGCTACAGCGTATGCCATTTGGAATGCTATGCGCGTGCAAGCTACCGGCAGAATGGACGAATTCCATCAAATTCAATAGCGATTCGTGGTTTTTAATGCCGTTGTTGTGATGTAGCAAATGATAAGCGACTTGGCTTGATTATTGCCTAGAGTGAAATCGCTTATTTTAATATCCGTCAGCATCGCTTTGCTAAATGGCGAACATATATCTGAATTTAGATTTCTCGTTAGCACCGAGACAAAACTTTCTTATGATAAAATTTTTATATCTACCACAATGATATTCCAAGCACGGGAACTAAATATCTAAAATGATAATTATACGTTTAGGCTTTCAAATGTACTTACTTTTTAAAAATCATTCCATTTGATAAATATATATATATATATATCTATACATATCTATATATACGTGGACTATACATACATTGCTTACGTGGGTAAAGAGGTGTTAGAACATGTATATGTATTTTTGTTTAAATATTTTTCAATCATAATTTTACTTCCTTTTAATGGGCATCGTCTTTGAGTAGTGTGTCTAGCGTTGATTAATCGCTACCTTATATGTTACATGCGTTTATTCGTTTATCCCAGTAAGGTGAATATATCATTCTGAGCCTCGAGTACAAGGTTGTGTAATATTGTAATTGCACATGCTATTTTTTAATTTTTATTTTATTATCATACAAGTAAAATTATGGCAGTTGTTGATGTAAAATATCAGTACTAGTGTTGATGAAATAGATTCGTACATTCGCTGTATTGTATATGTATATATAAAAATAATCCTAATAGATGAATTTTTTAGTTCAACCACATCTTTTGAACTCACATCTTATTATAAGTACAAAATAAAGCATATCTATAATAATTTATATAAAATATGAAAGTTATCCCGTTATTGGCTGTGCATTTAATATTATATAAAAATAGATATACTTTGAAGCGCATAAAGTTAAAAATTACGTTTTTTTTCTGTGCATAGTGTAGAGCTTATAAAATAAGGCACCAAGTTATTTTGATTGACTGATTTTGTGTACAGTGCGTGTGTTGTGTCATAAAATATATGCATGTCGATCTACATTTTTTAAAGCTGCGACACGTAAAATCGAGCATGCTTTTCGGAATTGACTTATACCACTTCTCTCTATCCATTCCTGAAAACAATTATTTACATTGTATTTAACGTAAAACAACAAATCAGTCGAATATACTTAAATAAGCACACATTTAAAAGGGAACATCTAGATAAAATGCAAAGGATCTAAGTTTCTATCGAAAAATAATCTACATGAATAAAATAATGAAGACTGATTATTTTTAAATAAATCTGTTGTTTCGAAACATTTTCAATTCATTATAAACGTAATATAACTTATCATTGATGAGCAATACAATATTTTACGAACTACATATAACGAGCAATTTTACGAACCTATTTTACTGATTAATAAGTCTAATCATGCAAATATCCTTATACCTTGTAACTTTTTTATAAATTTCAACGAACTCAAACTATTCTCCAAACTTGTCTTGCAATAATTTACCTAAATTTTTATTGACATTTTTTTCTAATCCTTAAGGAAATTTCATTATCTATGGACACACTATTGAATTTCGAAAACTCACCTTCTAATTGATTTTGGAGTTTGATATCCAAGATATGATCTTGGATGACTCAGTTTACTTGTACGAATCATCTGTGAATATTCACAGTTTGGACCAGTCTTGCCAATGGGGCAGTCACATTCGTAACCATCTTCAGTTTCGTGGCACATACCTTCTCCGCAGATACCTATATATTTCACAACCAATTTTAGTAATTGCCAAAAGTTAAAAACAATTCCTAAATAAAAATTCAATAATCAAAAGTTACCTGGCTGGCAAGATTGTTTTGTGTTCTCACATCGAGCTCCTACAAATCCTACATTACAGATACATTCAAAGCCGTCCTTTGAATCGATAGATTCTTGACAGATACCATTCGAGCATGGATTGGTCATGTGCTCACAAATTTCACAACTCGTAATAGATTTGCTGACAAGCATATTGTTCATCAAGTCGATTTTCTTGTCGCCCACGATAAGTCTATTGATGCAGCCAACGAAGCCGGTTGTCACACCGACATTCTTATTAATGCCTATTTCGCTGATTCCGCCGACATACAGAGGAATGAAAGCATCGAAAGTATCTCGTTTTCCTTTGGAAACTGCTTTATAAGTATATGAATTGTCTACTATCATCGTTCCACTTTTGCGATCTCGTTGCAGAATAATTGTGTGCCAATCGCCAAGACTAATGTTCCTGTCAGCTTTCACGATAGTAGGTCCGGATCCAAGATCGAATCTTGAGTGAAAAAGGTAAATTAATTAATTCATTCATTTTTATGAAAAATGCAATTTGAAAAATCCGTTTTAATACGTACGTGAACGTTGGGTATCCTGTTTCAAGAGTCAATGACATGAAATCACCATCTCCGTTGTGATTTTCAGCGGTGTAGAGTAAGATACCGTTTAGATTTTCTGGTCTGAAAGTAATTTCAATGTTGAATTTCAAATTTGCCTCGACTAACGGTGGCACTTCGATGTAACTTATTGGTGCTTGGCTAAAGTAAGGAACTAATCCGTTGACTACGACTGTTGTGAACACTTCTCTCATTTCTTGGCCATTATTTGCTTTGCACATGTATACTCCGGCAGTGCTTTGGTTAACTTCTTTCAAAATTAGTACAGCCTGCGAAAGTCAAATACATTATGAAATATTATCAATACTTATATGTAATAATTACTTCTTGACATTTACATCGTTGATTTCAGATGTGGTTGGTAGCGTTCCATTGACTTTTGTCCATCGGTATCGACCTGGTGGCTCAAGATAATCTCGACATTGGATTTCGATATCTTTACCGAATGGTGTATACTTTATTTCCATTGTTGATCCATCCGTTCCGTCGGTGTCTAAGTCGTCCTCTGAAATATAATGTGAATAATTTTCTGTAATTTATTTACACAAAACAAGATGCCAAAATTATCTGAATCCTCAAGACAAGTACCGCTAACGATCAGTTCGAAGTCTCCTTCAACAGCACCATCTTCAGAATCTATGGCACATCTATACAAGCCAGCATTACGTTGACTAACATCTGTCAGGGTCAAAATGTTGCCTGACTCTCTAGCATTCCATGGTAGAGATACTTCGTAAGGCATGCTCCAAATATAACGCGGGTTTATTATTCCCGACGTCATGCAATGAAGCTCAACTGAATCACCCACGTCAACTGGATTTTTGGAAGCTCCCACCTTTACGATCGGCGTTGCGGAAGCTACAGAAAACATTGATCATTATGATTCGTTTGTGGCTCAATCATTTTTTGACTTCGTAAATTGTTCTCGTTGTCGTTATTACTTCAAAAACTATATTCACGTGAAACGTTATAAAGGTACACTAGGTACCTGTACGTATAATGTCGAATTACCTTCCACAGACACTTCAGCTACAGCTTCAGCGGTGCCATAATCATTCCATGCTTTGCAGACATACTTGCCAGCATCAGAGAATGTTATTCCATAGAATCTCAATAGACCGTTCGATTGTTTTACCGACGATGGAAGTGGACGTCCAACAGCTTCCCATTCAACGTTCATTGGTGGATCCCCAGTAACTATACAGTGAATTGATGGGCTTTCACCGGGTCGCACCGTTTGTCTTAGAGGTTCTAATTTGATCTTTGGTGAATCTGAAATAAAATGAAATCCTTTTATAGTAAACATCTGCACAACTGTTATAATCGACAATATTATTTCGTACATACCTACGACATTCAACCGAGTGTTCGTAGAGAATAACTGTTTTCCATAGGTGTCCACACCAATACAGGTGTAATCTCCCGAGTCTTCTTTCTTGAGATTGCTAATATACAATGTACCATCACTTATAGTACTGGTTCGTGACATTGGTCTACCATCTTCTCTTTTCCAATCGAGATAGATACTCTTGTCATCCGTATACGGGAAAACTTGACAGCGCATTGATACTTTACCTCCCGTTGGAACATTCTCTAACTTTCCCGCAATCTGGCCACCCGTTTGGTTTGGTTCATTTGGTGAGTAGTAAGGATCCTGCAAAAATGTAATGTTTTACAGTTTGTTAAAGACGGGTGTAAGAATCTTTCTCAAATACCTCTGGCGGAGGATCATAGCAAGTATCACCACGGCATTCCGGATCCACCGAGTTTTCATCTTCGATCCTCACTTGAACGTAATCTTCAGCTTGACCTGCAGGACTGGTAGCTCTGCACGTGTAAGTTCCTTCATCGGCGAGAGTTACCGAATTGATGTCGATCGTGGCCGATGGACTAAGCCGCTCCGGTCCACTGTACGGGTTTCTGAAGAAGGAAATTATATTTTCGTAACTAAGAACAAAAATTCTTGATTGTTCGATGTGGACAATGCTTACATCACAGGCGTCAAACCATCTTCTTTGTTCCAAGAGACAACTGGCATTGGCTGTCCGTTGCCAGTACATATCAAATGCAACCTAGCTCCCTTTTTCAATTTCAATATGCCATGCTGAGGACTGATACTTATCACAGGGTACGAGTTGACCTCTAAAGTAACGGTAGCGCTTGTCGTACCGATGATATTTTGAGCGACGCAAACGTAAGTACCCTCGTCGTAGCTGGTCACATTATTGATTCTTAACATTCCGCTGGAAATTACTTGAACGTTTGAGCCGAATGGTCGTTGATCTTGGCGAGACCATTTGATTTCTGGAACTGGAATACCGGCGATTGCACGGCAATGGAAGTCAGCAGTGTTACCTGTTAGTACTGTTTGAGTCTTATTTGGATAAATTTGAAGGACTGGCATTTCTCGAGCTGTTGACAAAACAAATACTAATCAAATAAAACGTAAATATTACATTTATTAAAATTTAAGACCTAATACTGACGATCGACATCAAGAATAGCGCTAGCTTCGTAAACTCCACGATCACCTTGGCTGAATTTGCAAGTGTACACTCCTCTGTTGGCCATCTGAATATTTGCGATACGCAGAGTTCCACCAGTTGCTTGAACGTTAGATCCTAAACTCGGTTCCCTGGCTTTTGTCCACTTAAAGTTAGACTCGTCACCTTCCGTTCTACAGGTAATTATGGCTGTGGAACCTTGAGGAACTTTCTGTCTTTGAGGTTCAATGGTTACGGTTGGCATGTCATGTCGTGGATTGATCTGTACAGATGTCGTTGTGCTTCTCTCTGTACCGTCGCGAAGTGTTGCCGTACAAATGTACCAACCGGCGTCGCTTAGCGATGGATTGGAAATGGTAAGGATACCGTTGTTTTGAGTGGCCGCTGTTGGGAGTAGCATTTGATCCGATCTACTCCAAAGGATTCTTTGTACTGGGCTTGAAGTATTGCAGATGAGTCTTACAGTGTCCCCGCTAAATCCAGACCATTTGTTTGGCGATATTAATACGATTATGTCGGGTTGTGGCACTGGATTGAGCGCTGTGGATAAAAGTGCCAATACAAGTTTTGTTTCCAGGTGTCCAATTTTAGAATAACTTACGTCTTACGTGCAGCGGGACAATCTTTTCACTTGAGCCACTACGGGTCGACACGATACATTTATAATTGGCAGCATCGTCTAATGTCACGATGGGAATCCTCAAAACCCCGTTTAAGAACGTTGCGTTTTCGTTCATACGACCGTCGGATCTTTCCCATCCTATATTCGATGGAACTGATTCGGATGTTCTACAAATAAACTCAGCAGGTTCTCCTTCAATAACCACCAGAGATGGAGGACTGATTTCAATTGTTGGTTCCGTGCCAGAGTCTAAGCAAAAACGGTAATTATTTTTATATAAAAAATTAAATTTTAAAATAGAAAACTTTTTGTCCATTAAAAAAAAGAGTTCAACGTCAGGCAACATTGAATAACAGTAACAGGAAATTACATAAAACTCCATATATTATGTACCTTCTTCGGGAAGCAGTGACTTAGGAAAAGCTGCATCCAAAAGTAAAAATATTTTTGTGATAATGATTAATTAAAAAGCACTGTTTACATACCTCCAACGTGAAGAGTAACTTTTTCAGTATTGACGTATTGTCCATCGGTAACGTGACAGATGTAATTTCCGCTATCGGATATTCTGAGCTCTCTGATAACCAATAAACCGTTACCATCATCGATACCTCTACCTGGTGCTAAGTAACCTCCCTCTTTCTGCCATCTCATTGTAACTGGGTTCTGTAAAATCTCACAAAATAATTAATATCATAGTATAGTTTTGAAACTTTAGTGAGTTATAGACAAACATATTACATTATAGACTGATCTACCGCTGCAATGGAATCGGACGCTTTCTCCAATTTTTACAATGATAATTTTTGGTTCGTCAATCTTGACGATAATTGGTGACGATCTGTCAGTTATAACAGGTTCAGGAGTTGTAGTGGGGTAGATGTCACCAGCTGTATAATGTTTGTTGAAAATCAAAATGAAAATCAGTATTCGATATCGGACTTTCGAATGAAAAACTAAACCAAACTAACCATTTTCTTTACAGAACTCTCCAGCGTATTGAGGTTGACAATTACACTTAACACGGCCAGAGTAATCTAACTCACAACTTTGTTCGTTACCATTGCAAGGACACGGCACGCAAGAGCCTAGAGGACTAACAGAACGGTCATTAGAATTCCTATAGTGTCCAGGAGCACAAGTTTCACACGAAGTTCCAGTGTATCCGGCAGGACACATGCAAGCTTCAACTTGAGTGGTACGTGGTTGGCCGAAAGATAAACCTTCGGCAGCTGTATCCATAAAGATGTCGCTCATGTAGGTAGCGATCATGTCGTCGCACAATGACGCTCTCACCAGGATCGCGTCAACGTTGGCGAGGACGCTCATTAAGTCTGGTCGCGTAGCGACTCTCAGACCGTTGGTCGATACGTAACGCCATTCGTTTTCGATCAGAGGTACATTCAGCGTCTAAAACGATATAATTTAATAATAAAAACGTTATTTGTTATATTGCTTGATTAATAATTATTTCTCAACATACTAAATTCGAATTAGGTGAAACATCGTCAGGATTCGTCCAATAGAGTGTGATACCATTTCCAATAATAATAACGTCTTGATCCTTGCGGCAACTGGAATTTGGTTGTGCTTTAACTTGTTGATTGAAGGACAATTTTCCACCGTAACTCTTGATTTTATTTCCGGTGAATTTGCTTGGCAGCGACCAGAACAAGCGTCTAGATCGGCTATCGGTGTAGCGATAACCAATTTTGTTAACGGCAAAATCCAGTTCGAAACCTTCGCTAACAATTTGACGTCTGGCTCTGCAAATTAAAATCTCATTGAAAGCAATGTACCCAGTCGTTGAATAGGATTTTAAAACCAAGGAAGACAAACTTACGAGTCTGTGAGAGTGAAACCATGCTCGTTATCGTAGAAGAATACCGGAATCTGCTGCAAATACAGAGAGCTTTCGTGACATTGATTGGTGACGCCACTACAGAAACACTCGTTACATCCATCGGGATTATTCTGTGACAAGCCGAATGTGGAATAACGACAACGATCGCATTCTGCTCCTTCGACGTTGCGTTTGCACGAGCACTGACCATTAACACAATCGTTATTTTCAGATCCAAGTGGGTTGCAGTGACATGGAATAACCGAGCCATTTCTGACTTGGCAGTCGTAGGGTGTACCGCGTGTTGCATCGCCTTCGTAGCCCGATTGACAGATTTCACAATTGTTTCCTGTTGTATGGTCGGCGCAATTCTACAATGGACAGCCAAGTTTGATTATTAGTTGTCAATATCACGAATATTATTTGATAATATTTTGTTAATATCTCACCTCACATATACCAGTTTCGGGGTCACACTGACTAGAGTGTCCGTTGCACCTGCATGGCTCACAAATACCGAGGTACAGTCCTTCAATAGCCCTGGTGTAGCCAGCAGCACAATCTTCGCAAGACAGACCCTGATACCCTACTGGACAACTACATTTTTCTACTTCGATGGCACGCTGTCTTCCAGTATTGAATTCTTCGGCGATGTCCAAGGAAACGTAAGACAGTCTGAAAAGTGAGAGAAAATTCTTTGAGCATGTCTCGAAAAGGAAATCCGTTGAAAATATTTAACCATCAAACTTACGCAGCTTCGTCAGTGTGCGTAGTGTAGGTAGCTTTAATACGTATGGCTGCAATGTCAGCTAGTGCCATCAAAAGGTGTTCCCGGTCGGCTACTGTTCCATCAGCTCGTTGCCAGTGTTGCTCGAGCAAAGGTACGGTGATGGTCTTCGGGGCGTTTGGTTCAGGGAATTCTCGCGAGTAGTACAAGAGTGTTATATCATTAGACTGCAAATCAAAATAATCGTATTAAAAAGTCTGTTTGATTGTAACTTTTTAAATATCATTAAAACTCACGCTGATCAGTTCAACGTCTGCAGCGCTATTTCTCGAAGTCAAACCGCCAGGAGATGGAACGTGTCTCACGATATACTTCAAGTTTCCTCCGTATGCCGTAATTTGATCACCCAAAAATAAACTTGGTAATTGCCAATAAAAGACTTCGCCGGCTCCGCGATCGGGGAAATCATTAAATTCGATTTCACGAGCTTGAGGTTTTACATTTATGCCACGTGTTATCGGCGATGAGTCGCGGTTATTTGAGCTAATAAGCGCAAAACCACGTGGAGAGTTCGTGAAAGATACCCGAATCTGATGAACAATAGTTTCGATTATTCGAGAATGTTTATATTATAAAATAAGTATATCTTAGTAATCTTGATAAGACGTACGTCGCTTCTATACCAGTTGGATGACATACACTGGTTGGTGATACCCATACAGAAACAACTAATACAACCAAATTGATTTGTTGGCGCCAAACTGAAGGTGTTGGGTTTGCACTGGTTACACGTAGGTCCTGTAACGTGTTCCTGTAATTGAAAACAATTATTTTTATAACTCAAGAAAAAATTTTATAAAATAGTTTAACAACATTTAAATCGTATCTTACTTTACAGTTACATGTTCTGTTATATCGATCAATTGGAACACTAAGAGTTCCACTAGGATCACAATAATCGGCAAGTCGACATTCCTCGCCTCGTAAAGGATTACCAGTGTAACCCTCGGAACATCTCTCGCACTGTTTGCCTTCATAACCAGGTGGACAATCGCATTTCGGGCTAACACCGTCGACATCCAATTGGCAGCTACGGTCAAATCTAAAAAACAAAGTCATAAAAAATTGTGCATCATGAAATCTTTATCAATTTTTTGTCAGTTATATTCATTAAAGCTTTTAAATTTAAGCATTGATGCTATCAAAGGTTCGATTCATTTTGGTCAGTTTTGCGGTGGCAATCACAAAACTTTATCATTAACGATCGTGGCACTTCAATTAACCGTATAGCCCCACTTGTCATGTAATAACTCGTCAAGCATTTACGATTTTCATGCTATCGTTCTGTCTTTGTTTTTCAATTAGATGAGTTCGAACTGCTGTTAAGAATTGAGTACTCTTGCGCGTGCGCACGCTGTCGGAATCGATCATTTGATATTTTAATATTCACCTGTGCGGAATGGGGCAAGGACAAGCTTCGCACTGGATTCCTCGCGAAGGGTCACCATAATAGCCACGTGGGCAGCTTTGTATTTGAGATGGAGCTTCTCGGTAACACTGTCCGAGCCAGCGACCACTCTTTCGACGTACGTAGCCAGGAGCACAATTTTCGCACGATAGACCGCTATAGCCTGCAGTTAAACGATCATGAAAACGCTAAATTAGGCTCGTTCTACAGAATGATTAACAAATATTAACCTGAAGGGCATCGGCACTCCTCAACGTAAGGGATGGAATCCAATCCAGTGTTGGCAGCCGAGTCCAAAATGACATTGGTAATAGACACGTTCAACTGCTGCGAATTGTCATATTGTGCTCTGAAAGTAAATCAGCACTCGTTAAAGATCCCAGCCGACAACGTGCAACTTCTACTAATCTACGAAAGTAAGGCAAAGCGCACTTGATTAAAATGTTGTTGACGTTGGCTAAAACCATCATAATCTCTTCTCTCGAGGCCAGTGTTATTCCGCGCCTATCTTGCTTGTACCAATCTCCAGACATGAGTTTAACTCTCTGCCTGGATTCTTGATCAGGTGCCACGCGAAGTCCGTTGTTGTAAATGGTTATATCGTTACCGGTGATAATAACCGCGGGACCTTCGTTACCACCGCCATTGCCGGAATACTTGATGCTGTAATGCAAGTAACCGCCGTAAGATTTTAATTGATTGCCGTGGAACTGCTCGGGCAGTCCGAAATAGATGACGGTGCTTCTGTAAATGTCATTGTTGATGCTTTGCACGTGGTGACCGTAGCCGTCAGCCGGCACAGTCTCGGTGTAATTGGTGTCGAGCGGCACGCGGATTTCCGGTCTGACCTCGACCGGCACGACCTTGTAGCGATGGATGGGCAGCGGCAGTTGATAAGTGTAAAGATTGGCGCTACTGCACTCGGTGGCGACGCCGAAGCAGAAGCAGGATATGCATTCTTCGGGCCTCCTGGCCTCGGCATTGAATCTGCCAATCGGACAGATACTGGTGTTCTTGATGACTAGGATGGTATCGGGCACGGCAATAACGAAGCCCATGACGTTGATTCCCTCGCACGAGTAGGCACCCTGATCTTCGATGCGCACGTCGGGACAGGTAAGATTGCCACTGCCGTTGACCGACGAGGTGGTGCACTTGGGCGGAATATGGCCCCAGTTCAGTCGCCAATTGATTTCCGGCGTCGGCACGCCGACCGCCTCGCACGTCAAGAGCAGCGTCTCGCCGAGAGCCAGCACGACCATCGGCGGGGGCGTCTTCGTTATGTAAACGGCAGCTGAAAGTCCATTTCGTTGTATGGCGCTCTTTCAGCTTGATCGCTTTTGCAAGCTGACTCGATCGGGCCAATGGTTGTGTACTTACAGCAGCCGATCTCGTCGCTACCGTCCATGCAGTCGTTTTCTTGATCGCACTGATAGCTCTTGGGGATGCATTGCTCGTTGTGACACTTGAACTCGCCGTAAGTGCACGGTGCATTGAACGGCGAGGCGGAGCAATTGTCTTCGTCGCTGCCGTCGCTGCAGTCCTTGTCGCCGTCGCAGCGCCAAATTTTGCTGACGCACTGCTTGTTCGCGCAGCGGAATTCGTTGGGCTCGCAGCCGTGAAGACCTGAACAGATATTTTCATTGACAATGGGTGAGGCCCACAACGCAACGCTCCTCGAAAACTTACCGCAGCGAGACTCGTCCGAGCCGTCGGCGCAGTCCGCTTTACCGTCGCAGATGTAATGTTTCGGTATGCATTCCTGATTGTTGCACGTCGCCTCGTACGGGCTGCAAGTCTTTTGGTTTGCCCAATTGTTATTGTCATCTGAAAGTCGCGTTTCCATTGTCATCGATAATTTCGCAGCTATTCGCGGATATAATTCGGCCGATCGAGAGAGAGAGAGAGAGAGAGGGGGAGAGACTAAAAAAATACGCACTTCTCTCAACCTCCAGGTTGGCAGTGATTCGTGCGCCGGGTAAATGCGTGTAATATTCGGCTTCGCAAATATAAGGACCAGCATGCTCCATCTGAATGTTGGGGATCTCAAGTCGACCATTAACGGTAGAACTGCCCGGAGGAAGGGGCTGCCCATTACCGCGCACCCATCGAATTCTCGCTCTCAATGGACCTTCGTCTCGACACTGGATTACCACTTCTGACCCTAAACGACAATCAACCGTATTTTGTACTTTTCATAAGTTCGATATCATTCGGGTCACACGAAATATATGATTTCATTATTATTATTATTATTATTATTATTATTATTATTATTATTATTATTACTAATGTCAAATCAAACGACTTACTCTCTTTGATGATTTGATCCACCGGATACACTCTAATGTCAAGTCTGCCTACTTCCGCTAAAATAAATATTAATTCACTAAATAATTCATGTTAAAAAATATGTTACAACTACATTGTGACTGAACTCGCGAGACCTGAATTGGATAATTGGGTTTGATATAGTTTAAAAGCTTGTATGTTGGTTTTAGATAAACGTTATAACGTTAAACGATTTATTTGTTAAAACATTGAACTTACGTCGGCGTGAAGTACAATTACGTTCATCTCGACTGTCAGGACAGTCGGGGCGACCATTACACACGTCGATACGATTGATACAAAAGCCTAGTTGACACTCAAACTCGTCATTCCTGCAGCTAGGATAACGTATCGTGTTACTACTATCCGGGCCTGTAACAAAATCGATAATCGTGGCTTGAACGTCTATTATTCAATCGAGCATACGAAACTTTGAAAAACAATAAATCGATGGCAAAATGAATGTCATATCATTCTTTGATGTATAACTGCTTTCTACCTAATGACTAAAACTATACTAATGTATTTAACAGCAAATCACACTATACTAGACGAACTAACACACATACATGCATCTACTAAAAACGTTGAAAGGAACGTTCATTGAAATTAACAGTTGAATAATCACAAAATAGATTTGAAACACAAATAATAATTTTTTTTTTCAATAAGTATAAACGTCATTAACTATGAAGTAATTATTTACGATTTTACGAACGAAAAAATAAAGACAGGAGTAGACATTTCCAAGATAATTGCAATCGTTTTTCAATATTCATTCACACAGAAATTTTGATTACGCTCTTGTTGATACCGAATTTGAATGAACAAAACAGTGCTTTGTACGGTGGCATAAAAATAATGCTCGTTATTACGATAGCAATCAATTGTCGATTACTATAAACGAATGTTCTCAAATAAACGATTCAATAGTTGACTTGAGTTAGTGAGTTAAAATTAAAATGAAATAATCGAGGAACAATTCAACTAGCAGCTGAAAATTAAATATCATTGACACAATAATGATCCACGACAAATTAATTCAATACAACTATCAAACAATAATAATAATAATAAAGTAAATCGATCACATTTACGACAACATATAATTTAGAGAGTTTGATCATACTGCAATTTCTTTCATCGCTGTTATCTAAACAATCAGTGTTTCCATCACAAAAAAAGTCTTTGCTAATGCAGATTCCATTTTCACATGGTTTTTCACCAGGTCCGCATTCTGCAAAAATTGTGAGGAAAGTAAGACTACCAAGGTTCTAAAGGTAGTATAGATACATATCATATTAAACATCAGCAGATTTATAGAAATAATTAGTAGAGATTGATATAGAAGTAGTTATTTCGAAAGACTGAGATTCGTGCACGTCATGTAGTGCATGTTTTGGTGCATAGAGATAGAAGATACAATTATATTTAGTAGTAAGAGAATTCAAATAATAGAACTTAATCTACATCAGGTTTTACCTGTACCTATAACTAATCGATTTGAATATCATATCTATACCATGGCAGTTTTATAATTACAAAAGTTGCGCCATAATTCATGGCGATAAGTATAGTATTCTTTTAACGATTAATTCTATTTCCATTACTACTAAAATAAATAATATCAAGTTCGAGAATATTTTTGCGATAAATCAATATAATTTACAGTTTAAAAAGACACCTTCGACGTAACCACTTTGGTTCCGATCAATTCAAGGTGCTCTCTTTCGTTGACCAGATACAGTTAAAAGGATAAGATTTTTCATATTATAAATATCTGGACTGTTTTATAAATATATATTACGTTGAAAATACCAATATTGTTACAACTATGCAGGAAGAATATACAAAGAAAGTTGTAGTTTCAGAAGACTAAATATAATGCTGAGAAAATAAATTAAAAAAAGTTATTCTACAAGTGGTTAAAAATGTTGTAGTGTTTACTGGCATTATTACAAACTTAACAATTTAAGTCAATTATACTACCTTTACTCTAAAAGAAATGTAATGTAAAATTGAAATATTGTTATAGTCTGTAAAATTAAAAGTAATTATCTTAGTAAATTATAAATTGCTAATTTCAAAATTACATTGGAAAACAAATGGAAATTGTGATCGCAAAAAAAAATCTATTAAAGCACGCCGAGTTTGTTAATCATAACCTGCTGTTATGATTGTTTAGTGTCATCATAAAGGATCCTTTTGTGAATCACGTAGAATAGACATGTTATTAACTGTAAGAATAGATTTCTGGGCAGCATTAATGATTATAGTTAAGTGATGTTACAGCATATAATACATAGTTAAGTTGCATGTAATGAATCCGATGGCCACAATGAATCCCTCTAGTATGCAATAAACGAGTAAATTATGGGCTATCTTAAGGTTTTGAGTGCACCATATTAAAAAGAAATTAATGCTTTACCAACTTATATAGAAGTTTTGTAAGCGATACTATAAAATAAATGTCATTAGCTTGTACCTACGATTGAGAAGTTTCATAAAATTCAGAGACAGCGATAGTAAGTAAAATAACGATATACTGACGAGAGAGAGAGAGAGAGATAGATGAGCAAGGCAAATAATTATTGACAAAAAAGCGTTAGTAAGAATGAAAAAAGGCTGCCTGAATGTAGCAATAATATATGTAGACGTCGTAACAAAAGAAATTATTATTGAAAGCCATTTAGAAGTAGAAGATAGCTAAATATTTGCTTTGAAGCTGGAAAATATTTATGATTATTATAATATAAAACGAAAACTGTATAAAGTTAGAAACGGTATGTATTAAAAAGACATGCAAATTTATAGATCAACAAATTCGTCATAGTATAAGTCAAAATGTAAGTTATTGTTATATGAGAAATGACCATGCTGTTATTATTAAATTTGTTGTAGAAAACTAATATGCATTTGTGTGAGTGAGTGTTTTTATTGAAATACTTTAGTTTTGTTACTAAAGTAATGTCTGGAAAAAGATGAAAAGAAGAGTATTTATATCATACTATCGATAGCTGATGTGACATTTGTTAAGGACCCGTTAATTCCTCTTTGACAATCTTCGTCACTTCTATCAGGACAGTCTGGATGACCGTCGCATCTGTAGATGCGATCTATACATTTGTTTCCATTCACACATTTGAACTGAGTCGGCGTACAGTTTCGTTCTATTGATGGAAAATAAAAATGAGTAAGCTAGTGTACTTTTTTCAAATCTTAGCTTCAATTAGTATGTGCGTGTTTGTCGAAATAATGTTTCTGAACTGTTTATCTAGAGGTATATCTCTTTAAACAAACGTAAAAAAATATTGTGTGTCTTAAAAGTAAAAAAGCGTGATGTCGAAATGTTTGCCAATGAATATGTACCGCAAGAGAGCTCATCTTCAGCAGCCAAACAGTTGTCTATTCCATCACATACGAGAGCCTTTGAAATACAAGAACCATCACCACACGTGAAGTCCGTCTCGGGGCAAGGAGCAATGTCTAATCATTGTTTTGATGAAAAGATTTGTGAATAATAATGTTCGCAATGACATTAATTTTTCGTTCAATAATAACTTATACTTAAATTTTATCAGAATGTTCTTAACGTTTCTACTATCTAATAATTTAATCAAATTCAATTCAAAAATATGTTTCTGATAAAATTTGTTTTTTGCGTTAAAAATAATCTTTCTGTCATAACATAATTACCACAATCTTTTTCATCAGAACCATCTTTGCAGTCTTGAATCCCATTGCATAAAGAACTATAAGCAACGCAGGTACCGTCGTCACAATGAAAATCGTCGGTTCTGCAATCTATGTTATATACACAAAATTTTAATGAGGGCCTGAATCCTTATTTACATCGTCTTATCAATGTACCACTTTATTAATGCTTTAAATAGAAAACATTTACTCGCATATAAGTGTAAATCCCTTAAATTACAAACTATATTATAAGTATGACACGATTGAATACAATGTCTACCGTACATCACTAATATTGAAAGTTAATTACTTCATTAACCTCTCTACATCCAGCAAACACATGTAAATTAACAAAAGAACATTTTTTATAAATTTCCGGGGAAAATTATAATTACTCATATAAGTATAATGGAAAAATAGTTTATTAAATATTTAAAAAGTCTTTTCCGTAATTTGAACAGTGCTACGATCGAATCAAACAGTTTGATTTCAAGAATAATTTATGAATTTTTCGTGTTATTTCCTGATAGGATATTACGGGTAATAAAAGATATCATGAATACTTTCTCTGCACTTAACGAAAGCAATATTCGGCTACCGCAGAGATTAAAATTACAGAACAACATTGATTTTGCAAAGGAATTATGCGTCATAGAAGTTTATTCTCACGATGGTATTCAAATTAGGCAATAATAATACAGTAAACCATTCTAGGGCTAAAGTAACTTTATAAAATGACAGATAAGAATATGAATGTTTCGTAACCGATATAATAATGCTATACAATCGCTGAGTTTGTTCCTATTTTAGAGGACTGTCTTCAATTAAGATGCGATGTATATTTCCTAGTACGCTATTTCAGTTAGGGAGCCTTGTTTTCGCCAAAGCTCTTGCCTTCGCGGTAAATTTTTATTGCCCCACTAAACTGAATTCTATCGAATCTATACCAATCTTTTTTAATTTTGTGTGATATGTTAAACTAAGTCAGCTATAACATTCTACTAATGAGAGATATGCTAATAAACGTTTGCACCCAACGTTCTCTCAGTCAAATTCATATAGACCAACAGGTTACATTTACAAATGGAATTTCTAGAACATTATTTAGACCTATTGTAATTGATATATTAGGAACTCTAATGTTACACCTTCATCGATACGCCGACGTGTATGAAATTAATCGTTGAAGCACAAAATGAAAAATACTGACCACAAGAGTCTTCATCATCACCATTCCGGCAATCCGAGAAACCATTACATCTTTTGTCGATGCTAATGCAAATACCCTCCAAGCAACGGTACTCGTCTGGACTACACGTTGTTACTGTAAAAACAGAGCAATAAAAAACGGCTTGACATACGATTTGAAATCTTTCGATTTAATTGAATACCCATAAAAAGGCGTTGGCATTTATTCTTTTGCGCACGTTGATTAAATTTTGGCAAAAGCGCATCCGCGGGAGTGCACACAGTTACTATTTACTTACGACAGTTCGTTTCGTCTGATTCGTCATAGCAATCTGGTCGATCGTCACAATACTGCTCGTCTCTGATACATTGGCCATTATTGCACATAAACTCATTTGGTCTGCAAGCTGTTATCGTAGAAAAAGATCGGTTAATGTTCATTGACATTTTCTATATCGTAGTAGTGCTCTAATTAAATCACTTCTGTAACTCCCATTAGTAGAAGTCACGTGTAATTTTCAGTAACTTTTGCAAATATCAGTCATTGAATACTAGGAAATTGAGCCTTCAAAATCTGCGCTGAATGGGCCTCGATATACGTGCACGCGGTTTTATTGAAATATTGATTCTAGGCTTTGGTCGGATACTTTTTTCCAGTGCATCCGACAGACTCGCAGATTAATCATCGTAATTAACAACAGCACTTGTCGGCGTAAAAACTGAGATGAACGGAAATGATAATCCCCGTAATTGGAAAATCCAACGTGTTCGCGAGAGAACATTTGGTGTATTCATGCGGGAGCCGAGCATACAAGTGGCCAAAAACCCTCGTATCAATCAAAATAGACAGACGAAGGGATGTGCTTACGATGCATGAAAAGCCGATTACTAAAAAATTCCCCTATAAAGTTGGACGCTCGAAATTACATCTCGACGTTTGCTTGTTTTTCGCTGTCGATACAATTATCAATTTTTATTGCCAATTAAAATATAATTACAGAATTGACGTTTCCTTTGTAAACAAACGTCCTGCCTGCCTCCCCTCACTAGACAGCTGCTACAGCGAATGATCGAAAACTGATAAGCTCTCTGAGCAAATTTAATTATCCGAAGCATCAAAGTTACTATTGTTATTATATGTGGTGTCTTGAATGCGCAATTTTCATTCTTGCGAGAGTAACAGAGAGAGAGAGAGAGAGAATGTAGCCCAAGCGATGGTTAAAGCTTCACTATCATATCGGGTTGACTAAACGGGCAAGTATGCTTTGATATGAGAAACTGCAATACAACGATACTACTCGACACCAGCATGTCACCCATCACCTGCTAAACCGAGAAATTCTATGATACTCGAAAGATCTCTCGTTATTTTTATTTATTTATTTATTTTTTTTTTTCATTTGAAAGCCCTGTCTTGTCGTTCCGTTGTAAGCGCGTAAAGTGACTGAACCGCACGAATAAAATTCGATTACAATTGCAATTCCAGTGATTTTTACACAAAGCAAACTGTCACGATGACTTGTCGCGATAAGCGTTTTAATTTGAAAATGGACGAATGACTTTACTGCACTCAGCGCGCGCGTACGGTATATTGTTGTGCGCAATCTAAAAATAAAAATTTACAATTGTTGCGGCACTAAAGCGGCGACATTACCGCCCAAGAATAGAGCGCGCGGTGGAAAAAAAGCCACCTAATGTAAAATCACGAATATTAGCATGACAAGAAGCGCGGCGGCAAACCGTCGGACCTTAAAAGCCGACGCGGAAAAAGCATCCCGGGCTAAATCGTCCATGCAAGCTTCTAATGGACTGCACCGCGCAAAAATATTGTCGACTAAAAGATATCAGATTTTCCTCTCCTTACGGCTTTTACTTTCCATTCTCCACTTTCGTTGCGTAGATCATAAATTTAGTCGCACTTTTTTTTTTCGCCTCGGAGTCCCGCTTTTAAAGAGCAAAGCTTTTTTCTCGCTTATTTATAAAATAGACGCGCGCGCGCAACACTAAAAGTGGTATTCCACGAGCAAGCATACCGAGCTTTGGCTGCCGCGCGGCGCATTTTCGATAGATTACGAAGCGATGTAGCTCCGTAAATATATGAAGACTACCGTCGAGGATTCACAACAAAGCCTAATCACCGCGAGCGAACAGTCTTCGATTCGCACGAAAGTACGAACAGGCCAATGTATCAATTATGCAAAGGACTTTTCATTACTCTTACATTTGGTGCGATTGCACGAATTGAAAATTCACTCGTACATTTCTTATGTTGCACGGATTAGCAACGCTGTGCAAGCTCCAATTAGCGACGTGTCGCTTCAATTAACGCATTCGCTTCAAAATCTCAAGAATGTAGCACATTTAAAATTGGAAGATGACTTGTTTTTTCATAAATACAGCGGAAATATTCGCGAATAATGCGAATAATTACAGCAGGCTACTTTATGCAGAAATACGCCGAAGAGGAAGTTTTCGATGAGACAGAATGTTGGATGTTGAAATAATATTGAGAGCCACTGAGTGAATGGTTTGCTTAAGTCTCAGGGCTGACTCTTCTCAACAGAATGCCCACTGTCCGATACTTAACCGGTTATTTTCATTATTATTTTTATTATGGCGATCGGCCGTGTTTGAAAAAAACAAAATTCGAAAGATTTGGTCCTGAAATACAGTTTGCGTGACCGGCGATGTTGCCTCGAAATATCATCGTTACTCTTGAGGCAAAGACGCTGAAAGACAGTTAAAAAGAGTATCCGTTCGTGCTGCAAATCGCCCGATGTGGTAAAGTTTCGTCGAGTCCGTAATGGAAAGATGACATGTGGAAAATTGATTGATCAAGCGGAATTAAGTCATGCAGCGACCTTCTCAATCTATTCTCTTATCGTTTATCATAAACAATCCTCGACGAATTGCAGCCAAGTTGCGCAATCGAGCGATATCTTTCGATAGACGCAAATCACTCTTGATCATAAATCATTGAACGAGATCAATCTTACTGAAAGCACTGTGCAGTCGTACTTGGTACCAATGCAGTGCCCGCGCGTAGGCTAAAACGGCGACCTTATTCCCGTTGAAAAAGTTCGCAATTCAAAGAAACCGAGCAGAAACGAATCAATAGGGAGCCGCGTATTGTCTGTGGAAGAAGAAAAAATGACGGCGTCGTGAATTTGATTTTTCTAATAGACTTCGATCGCATAGGGCTCGCTTTATTTTCTTCTCTCTCGCCGTTCGCTCATTGACAAAGGGATAAATGGCGTGTACAGCAGCTATCCTTTTCGTATCGGCCAACTTGCACGGACAGGAAGTGGTACGTCATTGCTGGCTCGTACTTCCGGTTTCGTACTTGAATAGCTGCTTTGACCCGCCTTCGGCGGAATCAATAAATTTATGTGTCGATATATCTTACTCCTGCATCAATGGCAAATTTTTAATTTACAAACGCGCCATCCAAGTCATTTCCACCGAAATTGCAAGTTTCCAGGCGCGGCAACGGACGACAACTGTACGGATCGTCGAAACACCTAACTCCCTGTTTGTCCGTACAGAGAACAGCCTTTACGAAAGCTGGATGCACGTGCTCGGCTTGTAAATATCATCTGGGATTGATCATTTACGCGTTGCACTTGTACTTCATCGTCTGGTATGAAGTTGAGCATCGATGCGTGCATTAAACGATAATCGATGTGATTGAGACTGCGAATGCATCAATGTCAGTTTCTATCAATTTTGAGCATAATTTATTAACCAATATGTTGAACATTTTCACCCGGTTGTTAACTTGCATTCATTGCAAAAGTTAGCGTTCGATGAAAATATTGAAAACTTTCGATGAAAATATTCAAGCACATATTTCATTAGGTTTTTCCACTAAATGATAGATAATTAATTAAATACTAAGTTTATATACGAATAGTACGTTGCATGAGAACGTTTCAACTAACAATGCGTTCACTAGTCAAAATCAATTTTTACATTTATAGTTTGTCCAAGTTGCGTTTGTAAACTTCCAGTATACTTAGTTCTAAGAGATGCTGTAATAAGATGTCAAATGATAATTAGAGCTTTTATTTTATTCTCATTACGCAATTGAAAGTCATGAGAAACATTGAAGATCTAAAATTTGAACAAAGATTAGAAAGATGTAAATAATAAAGTAAATTTGATTGATTCTCCAATCGTTTGTTCGTTTTTAGATTACTCCAGAAATCTGAATTTTTCAATGAAACGTCATTTTGTCTTTAATGAGTTAATTAAATCAATGCCTTTTGTTAGTCGTGAGGGTACTTTTAGCATTAATCTTACGCGTATCTTGTCCGCATGAAAATAAAATCTATAAATATTCCTCAACCGCGTTACATATTATTAGATTGTAAGGTCATAAAAAATGTTCTGTGCACAGGAGATATCAACGTTCAATATTTTACGATTTTAAAATCTGTTTTTATAATAGTGTATTATGCACAAGTTTTATCTAGTCATATTCCACGCGACGATCTTTAACTAATCAAATCTACTGAGCTTTTAAATACATTTTTTGCCATATTTTTTGCCGACTTGTTCATCGATGTTATTTATTTTCGTATTATGTATATACACTGACACGCATATTTATTACTATTCGGAATAATGTTCGTTTATTTAAAAATTGTTAAGGCATAAAATAGCATATTCCGTATATTAGCATTATTGAGTAACAATAATATACATTTATCAGGTTAGAGAGGTATTAATAAAGACGTAAATTGAAATTTAATTCTCGAACTAAATGAAAAGTTAAGTGAGCCACTCGGTGAGCCATTACATGCGTGCCGCACCCGAAAACCAGTTTATTCGCCTGTTGCAGATAACGTATTTCCATTTTATATTTTGACAAACATCAAACGATTGCATTGCTACGAAAAATAATTCAATTTATAAAATTATACTTGTTTTTTCCAACCTTTAAAATCTTTGGAATCCAACGTAATGTTGAGTGTGTTGCATTTAATTAGCGTTGGTACTGAACTTTGTGTGAAATTCTACAACGAACATTTTACGTTCTGATTTAATTTTTCACCACAGTCATAATCTCAGAGTGTCATGTGACGCCTTCCATAAATTGATAAACGTTATATGCATATCAATTTCATAAAACACTCACATATAAACTAAGGTTTATTGTTACTGAAAACAGCGGCTTATTTGGAATGTGCTATTACGAATTTTCATAATTTTGAAATATTCATATTTTGCCGTTATTCTTTACATTAATTTGACGTAAACAATTTAGAATACTGTTGCGAATTCAAGAGTATATTGATCCGGTAAAAGTGCATTTTATTACACCTGTAGGTAAACGTTAGGTATCGCAAGGGTTGCAAAGTTCAATTTCTCGTGTAAGTGATTTTTCGCTCGAATGGCACAGTGA